TATAGGAATTTTAATTTCTGAATGAATTTTAATGACTACCTGGCAAAACTTATGCTCCTCCCACCTCTTTTACTTTCTGTCTCTCTTTCACCCATATACTTCTGTCCTCTCTGGTTCCTCTCCTTCCCTTCTATACAGGAAAACAAAGCACGTGTATAGGCTAATAAGTCACAATGCTATCTTAAAACCGTCTGTTCTTTCCTTTCTGTGAGATACGTATTTTAGGTATTAGAAATATTTACTAGTAATGTGTAATTACTAGTAATTTACTAGTAATATTCTACATGTAGTTTCTTCACTTTTCAGAAGAAAATATAAATGCTTATTATGAATGACTAATGTTTTGATGAAAGAAGTGGGGAAAAAGGCATGGTAGGAATGGAGAGGGGAGTAGAGAAAGGAAGAAAGAAAGAGGGAAAGAAAAGGGGGGCTTAGGGAAAGAAGAGGAGAGGAGGAGAGAAGGAATAGAAAGAAAGGAAGCAGCACAGAGGAGAGGAGAAAGTGAAGGGGAGAACATAAGCGGATGAGGGGAAAAAGGAAAGGGGAACAGGTGGAGCAGCGGAGAGGTGGGGCTGATACACTCTATTCTTCATGTGTTCTTTCTTCCACATCCATGGGTTCTACAAAACATAAAAAATATTTCAGAAAAAACTGCATCTGTACAGATTTTCTTCTCTTGCCGTTATTCAATAACTAATATTGTATAACTATATATAGCTTTTACATTGTCCTAGGTATATAAATAATCTAGAAATGACCTATAGCATATGGAGTATATATATAGGCTATATACAAAAACTGTGCCATTTTATATAAAAGACTTGAGCATCTACAGATTTTAGTACCTGTGGGGGTCCAGGAACCTGCCTCCATGGTTACAGAGAGAAAGCTAAAGTTTCCCTTCTCATATGGAGAAGACTGTATATTACTTTGCTTCAGAATAGAAACTGCTTGAGGAGAACCTCCTGACCCAGCATTTGAGAAAGCTCATGCTATGACATACGTGTTATCCCCAAGAGAAAGGGAACAAATGCTTGGGGTGTACAGAGTGGGATGGGGAAAGAAATGAGACAGAGGTGGGGAAGAAAGAAGAAAAAAGCTGTCTGACCCATCCTAGACGGCAGAGTGCTGTGCAAATCACACGGGAACCTTGCCCTATGGAAAGGGTAGGAGGGTCCCATAATGACTCATTAAATTCTCCTCTGGGGAAGTGAGAAGTGAACTCCAGAGAAAGATTTTATTTAACTGGGGGGAAAAAGTGACAGGAAATGCCCTACATACTTAAGTTTGAGACTTCAGTTTTTTTTTTAATCAGCTCTTCCCCAACTTGTCCCACAAGTTGAGACTGGCAGCAGTTCTCTCTGTGTCATCAACCATTTAAACAAACAGAATATCCAGCACCACAGTATTAAGTTCACGCTGATATAAAATCTCTGAATTCTTGTCAAAAAAAAAGTGCTGCACCAAATGTAAAGTGGCTAATCACCCAGGAAGCATGCAGTGAAGTCATTGCTGGGGACTGCAACCTACAGTGGACAAACCTAAAGAGTAATGTAGGGTTCATGGTTCAAACAGAATGTTCCTTCCATGCCTAGCCATCAGTCTTAATGAAAGAAAATAAATCTCATAAATTGATATATGTGCATCCATGCTTATAGTGATTAGATCCCAGTTGTTGATTCTTTGTGCTAGGTCCTGTGCTACTGAGGTTTTGTTCATAAAGTCTTTTCCCACACCAATGTCTTCAAGAGTTCTACCTAACCTCTCTTCCAGCAAGTTTAGTGTTTCTGTTTTAATATTTAGATCTTTGATCCACTTCAATTTCAGTTTAGTGCATGGTGAAAAATATGGGTCTAGTTTTAATCTGTGGCAGGTTGAAATCCAGTTTTCCAGCACCACTTATTAAAGAGGCTATCTTTCCTCCATTGAGGGTGTTTGGCTCCTTTGTCAAAGATGAGGTGGCTTAGTATGTCTGGAGTTGTTTCTTCATCTTCTAATCTATTCCAGTGATCCTTGGGTCTGTTTCTTTGCCAGTGCCATGCTGTTTTTATCCCAGTGATTTTGTAGTATAGTTTCAAGTTGTGGATTGTGATACCCTCTGTCATGACTTTGCTGCCTAGAATGGCTTTTATTCTAGGACTCTTCTTGTTCCAAAATATTTTTTGGATTCTTTTCTCTAGTTCTATGAAATATACTGTTGGGATTTTAATTAGGGTTGCATTGAATCTATATAGCAGTTTAGGAAGTATGGCCATTTTCACTATATTGGTTCTTCCTACCCAGGAACAAGGAATGTCTTTCCATTTCTCTTACATTATCTTCAATCTCTTTTTTCAGAGTGCTGTAGTTTTCAAGTAATAGGTCTTTTACTTCCTTCATTAGATTGATTCCTAGATATTTCTTTTTTGTGGAATGCTATTCTGAAAGGAATTTTTCCCCAATTTCTCTCTCAGCAAGTCTGTTATTTGTGTACAAGAAGGATATTGATTTTTCAGTGTTGCCCTTGTATCCAGCTACTATACTGAATCTGGCAATTAAGTCTAGTCTTTTGGTGGAGTTTTTGAGGTCTTCTATGTAGAGTATCATGTCATCAGCAAAAAATGATAGTTTAAATTCTTTTCCTATCTTTATTCTCTTTATTTCTTTCTCTTGTCTCATTGCCATGGCTAATGTGGAGGGAAATAAATCTTTAAAAAAATAGAAATTAACCAATTCCACAGATATTTATTTTGTTCCATTCATAAGCAACTTCTTCTAAAGATAAAATCACAGATTCCACCTTTTGAAGATCTATTAAGTTGTAACTGAGATAACAGACATGGAAATTAATAAGAAAATATGAATTGGTATAATTTACCCTGACAATGTTTTTTTTCTCTCTGTTCCCCTCCAGAAAAAGAAGGAATAGTAGTTTACTCTGTTTTTTCTTTTCTTTTTAAAAAAATGTTTAAAACAATTTTAACCTTCATAGCTAGCCTTGAAGTGGATCTTAATTTCTTTTACTTCTTGACTCTATATCCCATAATTCCTTTATATTTTAAGAGCTTCAGTCATGATAAAGATTTTTATTTACCATCATGTCCCTGGCATTTCAATCCATGTCTGATACATATAATATTCTTTTTTGTTTTTTTTTTTTTTTGGTACCAGGGACCAAACTCGGGTTCTTGAGCTTATGCAGCAGTTGGTGAAACCATCAAGCTAAGTCCCCGGTCCCACATATAATATTCTTAATACATCTTTTAAGTGAGTAAAGTTATCAAATTTAATGAGAGTTAGAGAGAGAAACTTAGAAATCATAAAAAACAGTAGTGTAATTAGACTTCCAAGCAACTATTTTAAAAATAGTGATGTTAACAATAGTTTCTAAAATGGGATTTTGACGGAATTATTTTTAATAGTATCACTAAAAGATTTCACAAGAAACAACGTGAAAATGAGACCTTGATATGTAGACCTCTATGTTAGTCCTGTATTTGTATCTTTAGTCAGTCACCAGAGTGTTGCATCCCTACTAACTGACACCAACTTCCCCCACTCTGCCACCCTGGCTCACATCCATGTTAGAATGGAACCAACCTTTCTGGGTTCTTACTTTCAAGGCAAAGACAATAAAAAAGAGGGGTGTATATCTTGAGACCCTATGAGTGGATTTAAATTTTTATTGTTCTATGTTAATAAAATGAGGATATTTTATTTTTTAAGATTATAAGAATAGGATTAGTGAGATTAAATATGTATTGTTTACACTGCTCAGTTAATTGTATTAACAATAATTTCATGTTTTATAACCCTTTCTCTTGGAGACTAGAGGGCAGTGCTTTTGGTATGATTAATTTAAAAAATAAAGTACATATCACTGATTGATTTAAGTGTTATTGTACAATGGCTTTTTATGTGTTTTCTTTCATTATCTCAGTAATCTCATAAGGAATATATTTTTGTATCTATCTGATACATAAGAGCCTGTACCTCAGCAGCAATGAAGTAAATTGCTCAAGATCATAAGTGAACACTTTGTAGAAATGATTAAATTAAATAATCCATTATCCAGTGTGTGGTGGGTTCGGAACAAAACATAAATGTTTGAATTATTTAGGTCCAGCATCATTCTGTAGTACTAATTCTGAAAATCCTTGTTCTAAAGAATGTTCATCATCAAAAGATCAAGCTCAGGAATAATTGTTTGAAGAGATAACATAGGTAGAGCAATAGAAAATTCACAGGCTTAAAAGAATTGTTTCCAAAAATAATGTAGTTTCCCAGGTTAGTTTTCATTTGGCTTAATTTATTTTTCCTGATTGTCTTACTGTCTAGATTTATGAACTAGAAAAGGTCTGCTTGTTTTTGTTTTGTTTTACTTGTTTGTTTTCTTGCAGTACTGGGGATTAAATCCAGGGAATATTGAGCTATAATCCCCAACCATCTCCCACCTCTTTATTTTCTGTTTTGTATTTTGAAAGAATCTCACTAAGTTACCCAAACTGGCCTTGAACTTTTGATCCTTCAATCTCAGCCTTCCAGGTAGCTGGGATTAGGGGCATGTTCCACCATGCCTGGCATGAACTGCAAGTTTTTATGTCTCACATATTAGACAAACAAGTATCCTAGAATTAAGAGCCTACTTTACATTTTTAACTAAATCCTTAGGAGCCACAAACTCTGCACCAGACTAAAAACTTACAATGTATATGATGTTGACATACAGCCTCAAAATCCAGAGGAAAAATCTCTAATTAAGAGAGACTTTTTCTCCAGTGTATAGAACATTTCAGAGCAAAGAATGAGTGCAAGTTTTGAAATTCAACTCCAGAATAAACTCCTTAGCTCACACACTGAAGACCTAAATACTGGACAAGAAAGTGCTTCCGTAAGTCTAAAGATCAGAATTGTTGAGGGGAGGATCCCTTAGGAGAGCCACCTGTGCTTGAAATCATGAATGAGCAAGGGCAGCATTTTTCTTAGCTGTGTGTGCGTGTGTGTGTGTGTGTGCGCGCGCGCACTCGCGCCTGGAGATTTAGATTTGATGAAGTGGGAGGAACTAAACTTAACACAAAAAATTCCCACAGGGTGGAGTCTGATCAGTTCTTTCACTTTTTCACTCTAAGGTCCTGTATAAAAGTTGCAAAGAATTCTTAAGCGGCTCCAAGAACCATCCTGGAGTCTGAGGACTGTGCGGAATCCTAACCGGTAAGCAGCGAGTCACGGGCAGGCACTCTGTACACAATTGTCCTGGTCAGTGGTTTTTCTCCACTTGAAAGTTTTCTCTGCTAGAATTGTTGTCACAGTGCTTTGGAGATTTCTTCTGCTCATTTCCTCTTCTCTACTCCCTGTCCAAATTATCTTCATAAACAAAGATGGTAAAATCTCCCTAAAAGCCCTCATCTTTAAAAACAGGTTAAGTAAAAATAAATAAATAAATAAATAAATAAATAAAAATTAAAAAATTTAAAAAAAAAGCAGGTTAAGTAAAGAGATGTTTAGCAAAGTATTGAAAAAGAATTACTGGCAATAGTACATTGTAATTTATCTACTAAACTTGATTGCATTTGATAATTAAGTTAATCCTGAAGTTATCTAAATTTAAATGGTAAGGTTAGATCATATGCTGAATGTAAAAATATCTCTAAGTTTTGAGACTTCTGCTTTCTGGCAATTTACATTGTCTTAGGTTGTAATTACTCATAGTAAATATTAGAGAAGTGAAAATGTCTGTTCTTGTGAAGAGTGTCTTCCTCTTTTACTGTATGAAACATTTGCCTAAGGAAAGAAAGTCGATGCATTTTTCTCTATAATGTTTTTTTTTCTTTTCTGATTTTATTTTGAGAAAGATGGTGTGTCTTTTAGGTAATAGCATTGGAACAAATACATTGGTCTTTCTTTTGTGAGGCTCAGAAGTCATTTCTATCCTAGAGATGAAAGATACAGTTGTGACTGCAGTGTCACACATTTCACAATGACGCTGTTAAAAAAGCTTGATCTGTTTCAAGATATTTCTTCCCTTGTTGATAAAAGACTTCATATTTTACATAAAAAAACATATATATATGTATTATAAATATATATAATTGTACTAGGTTCTAAACTTTGAACTCAGTACAATTTGCTCATTTCAAGCATGAAATTTACTGTCTAAAGATTAACTATTGATTACTTACCATGCCTTATTTAACTAACCTCAGACTAGTGTTTGAGTAGACTATCCTGATCCTATGATTCCATAAAATCAAGTTTTAGTAAAGACGAAAATTTTGTCTCTAAAGTTTTGAGTATCTAAATAACATCATGAGAACCTATCTTACAAAATTTCCAAACCTAAATTTAAGACAAAAAGCCAATTTCTATCAAAAGCTATCCATAGAAAAGATATCTAAAAGTGTCTTTTATCTTTTTTATAAATGACTTCATTAATGTGAATTGTTCCTAACAATTTTTGCCTTAAATAAATAAATTTCAGGCCAGGGATTTAGATCAGTGGTTTCACCACCTGCTGTGCAAGCGCAAGGACCTGAGTTTGATCCCCAGTACCAAAAAAAAAAAAAAAAAAGAAAAGAAATTTCAACTTCATATTATATAAGAAGTTATGTGACTTGCTTGAGATCATCTGGTGTATTTGTCCACATTCTAAATAAAATTGGCACTTAATAGTGAAATTAAAATATTTGGAAGTCTTTTTTTGAAAACTAGTTACTAAATTCTTCATTTCAAAACATAAGCTCATTAATTTACTTGCAAATGATGAGGCATAAAATTTTGGGTTATAAAGCATTAACTATCTTAGCTGATGGGATGGGTGAATGTAGAGTTAAGTAACTAAGTATGAATTAATAAGTTACTTCCTTGGAGGGATGGGACTGTGTTACTTTGTGACAAAGGGTGATATTTAAGTCTGCCAGAGGCTCTGCATGGTGGTGAGTTGGATCAGCTTACACTCTGAGAGAGACTCCTACCAAGTGTTTATAACACCCCAGGCGTGACAAGCCCCCAAGCAAGAGGAGGCTGTAACTTTTGCCTGGCTGGTAACAGTTTGAGAAAGTTTAAGACTAAATACATTAATATACCCCATGGTTCTTTATAAACCAATTGATTGCAAGACTGAAAAAACTCAAAGAAAAAGAAAATGAGCTAAAGAAACATTAATTTTAAAAATCAAGAAGGAAGATGCAAGAAAAAAATAGGTTTAAGTCTCTGAGCAAGACTTCTGCTCCATGCTTCAGTCCTCATTCCTTCTCAAAGTCCAGCTGGCTTAGCATATCAAGCACAATTCAGAGGTAAACACTGGACAGTATTATCATCATAGCTTGTTTTTGTTTCTACACTATTCCAAAGTCTGGTCTCCAAATGAGGGAAAACAGTTCTGACTCTTCAAGATTATTACAAGGATTATATGAGATATAGATATAAAGAATCTAAAGAATATTTAAATGCAAAAGTTGCATTTTACTCAGGATGATTAATTATACTAGTTAATATTTGCAGTAAACTAATCTAAATATTTATTCAAGTAGCACCTTTGAATTTAAAGTAATCTCAAATGAAGTTTCAGAGTGCCAACTCTCCAAAGAAGCTTCTGAATATGAGACAAACTTTTGGTTCTTAGAAATTATTTTCTAATTATTATTATTATTTTTAAATTTTCTAATTATTTTCCATGTGATCAGAATGAGAGAGGATAGCCTTTTAGGAATTGGTCAATAGTTATTGTTAGATCCAGGGAGAAAGAACCAACCAGAGACTGATAGTAAATCCACACAGGAGTTTATTACCAGCTGGGACACAAGCCGAGCATTGGACTCAAGCCCCAACTCGGGGGAGACAAACATGTTTTATACACCTTTGAGGCCAACAGTTTCTAGGCCCCCCTATGGGATAGAACTAGCAAAGCAAGTGAAAGGTACAGAAGCAGAATGCCCTGCTGTTAGAACATTTGTAAAACAATAGTTGATTGTTATTTCTAAAGAGACTTTCTAAGGGGAGGAGGTTTCTAATCTTCCTCCTTCTGAGTTCATCTAAAGGGCAGACAGGTGAGTCAAGCAGCCATATGGAGTCTGTCTTGCTAACTAGGGCCCTTCAGTTATATCACATAATTCACTAAGCTTTTCTATTTATTCTCTTATTTAACTATCATTTGGGGGGTATTCTCTCTTAAGGACTCTGCTCAACAGTGGGATGGCCATAAACATAAAGTAAACATGACTTAGGCCCAAAGTAGATTATGCCTTCAGTAGAGTAGCCTGGAAACTCAGTGTAGCTATGTTAAGTAACAGGCTTATAGTAAGGACATACAAGACCAAACAGGAGAAAAATATCTCCTAGAAGTTTAGAAATAGCCAAGCAGTCAGGCCCCCAGCGCCTTGTACAGAATTTGCTGCATGGAAGGACACATTGACTCTCAAGATGAGATTGTCTCCCTGCCATTTCTTCAGGAGACATAACTGTTCAATCCCCAACCATTGTGTAGCTGAGTGATTCTACTTGCTATGGAATCAATTCATGCTTTCCTTGCTTCAACAACACATGGTTTCTATTTTCCTCTAAAAAATGAGTACTCAGGACACTATCCCTCCTAAGCCCTCCAATTTCATAGTTTTGCTCTTATTCTTATAAATTTATGCTTCTCTTTCTAACATAAGGAATAAATATACCTCACAGATCAGATTCCTGAAAGAATTTGATTATATGCTCAGCTAAACACCATCATCACTGCTTGCTTGGTTAGAGGTTTCATAGCTAGTCATTCACAGACCATTGACAAAACAGTGTATTTTCTTTAGTTGGTTATGTGTCCAGCAGAGGTTTAATCAACTATGACCAGACAAACAGTTCTGAAAAGTGGTAGAGTCACTATCTTTGATATTTAAAATATAGATTCCTTCATCAGCAAACTGCAATTAGGGAATCATTTAGAATAAAGTTGCAGGAATGGCAAGTGTTTCACCTTTTCCACTCACACATGTACCTAAATAGATATAGTACCTGGGAGAATGTATTACTTCTCATAAAAGGTGTGGTCATAACAGTTACAAATGTTTAAAGTATAAAACATTACTTTTAGCAGAAATGTCATGGCAAGCCTCGGGAAGAACTTGGAATTTATAAGCAAGAACTCTGAAATATGTCTAGAATCTGTACCAACAGAAGGAAAGCTGAACCGTTTGGGCAAATGAAATAATATGAGAAAACTTGCATAAATAGAAAATTTTTTGAGACATATAAACCAGAGTTTAGTATACTGAGATTTTTTTTTTCAGTACCAGGAATTAAACTCAGGACCTTGCATTTGTGAGGCAGGCATGGCACCACTGAGCTATATCCCCAGCTCTAGTATATTGAGATATTGAAACCATATCAACATCAATGTTAGAATCATTGATTTTTGTGCAGAATCATGAATTAGAGCGTTTGGGATCTACAACTGTATCTAAACCAAAAATAAAAAAGCACAAGTGAATTTTAATATTTTTGCATAAAAATGTAAAGGATGACTTATTAGGACACAATTGGCAATTGAGAAAAGAAATGGTCAAGCAAACAGAAGAATCTAAATTAGCATACAGAAAATGTGTTTGTTTTACTAGCATTGCATAATACTCAGATATACAATTACTGTCTGACACTGTGTGTGGGTTAGGATGGGAACAGGGAAAGGAACATAGAAGAAAGATGATTAAAATAAAGTTCTAGGGCTTCACATCTGTGTTAGATTTGGTTCCTAGGGATTCTAGATTTTAAATACCATGTATAAGTTGAAAAATGCCAAATACATCTTTTGATTCAATATTCCTCTAAGTTACAGACCCAAATCACAATGATCACCTTGACATTGCTTGCTACCTGGATGTTCAAATACTTGCCTGAAATTTAACATGCTCCATGGAGAACTCTGATTTTCCTCCTCAAAATTTTTCTTTCCCAGGTATTTCTTCTTTTATCATATTTCACATATTTCCTCAGATTCCAGTGCTAAAAGTAACCTCTTTTCCTCTTCTCAGCAGAGAGAATCTGTCACAGTCTTATCTCCTTTTCCCCTAAATATACCAAAATCCGCAACATTTCTTTCAACTTTTACCCTCCTGACCCAATTTAATTCTCATCCTTCTCTGTCAAGTTACTATAATAGCCTTAATTTGTCTCTTTCAATTTTATAACTTATAACAGTGCAGTGATTTTTATTTAATGTAAAATTATATGATCACTTCACTATTCAAAACTCTCCAGTGGTTTCCCATTCAACTTGGAAAAATATTCAATTCTTTCCCAACCTTCAAAGCTCTTCATGATTAACTTACTGTACCCATTTCACTTCATGCCCTGTCATCACCATGACCCTCAGCTTTCCCGAGTGTATTAGTTGAACAGAATAAGTATCTCCTCCCTAGAACCTTTGCACTTGCTAATGTCTCCTTCAGAGCCAGGTATTCACAAGGTTGATTCAGAAATGATCTCATATTTTTCCTTCAGAAAAAAGTATATGATTACACTAATGTAGCTCTTTTACACCCTAGTTATTCCATCTCATTACTGTGCTTTGTTTTTGCATAGCTATGAATCTATCTGAAATTACAATAATCTTGGAGGAATTGGTACATATACATGTCATATCTTAGGCAATTTTACTTCCCCTACTTCTTCCTGTCCTATCTTCTTCCCTCATCCCAACTCATCTTCCTCTTTTAAAAATCTAGATCCGATCATTTTCCTACAAATGATTCAAATTTATCTTTATGTCCAAGTATAGCTCTAGTGTGTATATACCATATTTTCTTTATCTAGTCATCATTAATGGGCATCAGGGCTGCTTCCAAAATTTAACTATTATAAATTATGCTCCTATAAACATAGGTTTGCATATCTCACTGGGATATCATGACAGAAGAAGTGTAACTGGGTAAAACTGAATTTCTTTTTTAAGGATTCTTCATGCTGATTTCCACAGTGATTGTATACTTGTTTATATTCCCACCAACATGGTAGAAGATTCCTTTTTCACTATGACCTCTATAGCATTTGTTGCTTTTTGAGTACTTCATGATAGACATTCTTTGTGGAAAATACTGAATATCAGCATTATTTTGATTTGCATTTCCTAACAGTTAAAGATGCTGAACATTTTTCTTGTACATATTGGTCATTTGCACTTTTTTTGAGAAGTTTCTATTCATTTTAATTGCCCGTTTATATTTGGGCTTTTATTTCTTGTGGTCTAATTTTTTTGAGTTCTTTACATATTCAAAATATTACTCCTCTGTCAGAGAAGTTAGCTGATAAGGATTTTTTTCCTACTCTGTAGGTTGTCTCTTCCCTCTATTGGTAGTTTCCTTTGCTGCGCAAAAGCTTTTTAATTTTATATAGTCTCATATATTGTTTCTTACCATTATTTTTCACACAATTAAGGTTCTGTTCATAAATTCTTTCCCTATGGCAATGTCTTCAATTACATCATCCAGTAGATTCAGTGTTTCTCTTATTATTTCCACAGTTACAAAAATGGTAATCATAACCTGTTTTTAGAATGTATATTAAACAAAGAGCTAATTTTCTTCTGAAAGAGTCCAGTTGTTTTATTATTTTCTACATTTTCAGAGCACCGTTTGTAATGGCGGCTTCACTTCCTGAGCTACCAGCTGACAGAGTACAACACATTGCAGCTGAACTCAGATGTCACCCAACAGATGAGAAGGTCGCCCTCCTCCTAGATGAGGAAGACGTGCTAAGGCGTTTCAGGGAGTATTTCTATATTCCCAAAATGAAGGATCTGCCTCCAAGTAAGAATATCAAAAAGGTTTTTAAATCAGTTTATTAATTAATTTAGTTTTTCTACAGAATATGCTTATCCTGCTATCCAAATAATAAAGCCATTGTCATAGTGTCTGAGAAACATAAGGTCCCTCGTACTACTAAATCAACCTGTCTACATACATTGAACTCATATTCTTTATATTTTCTACCTTCCCTGAATAAAATACTTACAGGGTGCTTTTTCTGTTGTCTACTACTTTAGTGAACAATAGAGGTACCGATTGAAAATTGTAAGCAGAGACATTTACATCTTCTACAAGCACTTAGAGCTGAAAGCAATTCTTTTCAATGCAATATTGGAATATTTCTTATTTTCTGGCACCTACTTGATGATAGTGTGATTTTGTCTTTGTTATCTGGATACACCAGTAAGGACATGAATAGTCATCTTTGCATACTATATATAAGGAAGACAAATGTAAAAGTTACCTGAGAAATGTGTGCTACTTTTCTGAATATGATAGAGTAAGATAACTTTTTGTTTTCAGGGAAGTCATCTTTATCTCAAACATAAGTAGTACAGGTATAAAAAATATGAAACATTTTGTCATATTTAGCTTTGCTTTACTGTGTTCTACATCAAGTAAAAAGGCTACAAGGTTGAATGGAACTATTATACCTAAATTGGCTTCACATACTTAGTCACAGTCCAGTTTTCATTCTTCTTCAGATTAACTAGGTTAGGTAAAATGTAAAATATTCAGAATCGAAGAACCTCAGCTAGCATGATTTTAATACAAATAACTCTAATTTAGCTTGCATGTTATGAAACACACAAGGACAGACTCTCTTGAAATGATGCACTTACAACATTTATTCATTTCTCACTATTATACCCAGCACCAATATAATTCTAGAAAGAGAAAGAAGTGATCAAGGCCAGTATCCAATTTAATGTGACTTAATATCAATTGAGAGAATCCCTACCACAAATGATAGCTATGCAGAGCCAAATAAAATGAGGCTATAAAGTGAAGTGATCTTAGACTCCATAAAGAAAAATATTTTTAAGTAATTCTGGAGTTGAAAGAATATTTTTATTTTAATGTTCAGGGATAAAAAGCTACTGATAAGTTATGAGGGAATAAAATTTAGGAAGAGAATTCTTTAAAGAGAGAGAAATGGGGGCCTGGTGATGTGTATATTCCACTGTGAAAGCTGTCGAGACTCACCAGGATGCACCTGAGTCCAGTCAGCTCCAGAAGGTGGTGCCTCTCCCTCGATGTGCTTTTTAGCCCACCAGGACTTGGTATCAGATGAGAACAGTCTAAAAACTGCATTGTGCATTGCTGACCATAAGGGAAAAGCAAATCAAAATCAGAATGAGATATCACATTGTAATCATATTTAAGATTAGTTTAAAAATACAGAAAGTAAGAAGTACCAGATAGGATGTGGAGAAAATTTAACTCTTGTTTACTATTGGTGGACATGTAGAATGATGCAGCTACTATGAAACATACTTTGAAATTTCCTCACAAAAATCCAAAATTGAATTATTGGTAATCCAGGAGGTCCTCTTCTGGATTTATTTTCAAGAGAATGAAAAGTGGACACCCCAAAGGGTATGTATGATCTTAAATTCATAGCAACATTACTCACAGCATCCAAAAGAAAGAAGCACCCCAAACATCCAACAACAGGTGAATACAGAAGAAAAATGTGGACTATACATACAATAAAATATAATTCAGCCTTGGAAAGAAAGGAGAGTCTAACACATGCTACCACATGCATTCCTCTTGAGCACATTGTGCAAAAGTAAAACAAGCCAGTCACAAAAAAGATAAATACTGCATGACTGCATGTATATGAGGTGTTAGTCAACTTCAAATAAACAGAAAGTGGAATGATGGTCCAAAGAGGCATTGGGAAAAGGAAAAATATGAAGTTATTACTTAATGAGTACATGGTTTCAGTTTTGCAAAATGTAAGAATTCTGGAGACTAGTTCCACAGCCATGTGAATGTACTTACCACAGAATTAGACAATTAAAATTAATTAAGGTGGTATTTTCTTTGCCATGAACATTTTAGCATATTATTTTTGTATTTATTAAAAATAAAAATTTTCCCTTAAAAGCAGCATTATGCATATAATCGCTTCTATTATACGTAAGAGTTGACTCTAGTATCCTGATTAAAGATAGAATAATTGTTTTGAATAGCTGTCCAACATAAAGTAATTCTACCTATTATACCTTGGATGAATCACTGCTAATTCTTAAAGAGAAGTAAAGTGATATAAGATGAATTCATTCAATAAAGACTTTGAGCAACTGTTTAAAAAAATACAATTTCAAGTGGTATAAAGATTTACTTCATTAAAACAAAGTGTGCTTCCCTGGCCATCAGTATGGACATCAACAAGGAACTTAATAGAAACACAAGTTCTTAAATTCTGTCCCAGAATTACCAAGTCAAAGACTGAAGGTGAAGCCCATTCACCTGTTCTAGACCAGTTAGGATAGAAATGTAGAGTTGTATCAGTTCATTTCCATTCTCAGTATCCTCACACACTCTAGTTACTTCTTATTTTTAACCATTCATCCATTTAACAAATTTGTATTAATTATTTCCTCTACTTGACACACTTTACTCAGCATAGCTCAATGAACTCAAAAAGAAAATTTTAATGTAGAAGAGTTAACATCTAGTGTAAGAAGACATGAAATAATATAGTTACAGATAACTTTATACCTCACTGTCAGGTCTTGCTCTAAGTAGGTGTTAGGAAGGTGTAAGGAGGAAGGTGTTATTTTGTCAAAGGTAAACAGAGAAGAAAACACCAAAAAGGTAGGGTCTAAGTAGAGTGAGAATAGAGTGACAATGTGAGCCATGTGTGTGCATAAGTGAAGCTGAGTAGGTGCTTTCTCAAGTTTGTACTGCAGAAAAAGGCACTGAGCTCAGGAGCAAATTATTTTAGTTTCCCTTTGTTTCTTTGACAAGAAACAAATACATCACACACACAAAAATCAATGTTTCCTGTCTTATTAAAACCTTCCAAGAAGATCTAACAATAATATGGCATCTCAAAATCTTTTAAGAATCCAGCGTAACACCCCAAACAAATGTTCCTCAGCAATGCCAAACAATGAGAAACAACATAAAAAATATTGGAGTAATGAAAGGAAGAAGGCTCTCAATGTTGACTTTTCTGTGACCTTCAGGAAGAACTATAGGCCCAATCTATGATTTTCTGATATCTTGCCATTATAATGTTTTATTTGGATTTCCAAAAGAAATTTTATCAAAGGGATGCATTTTCTTTTATCGTTAGAATGTTTCTGAGATGTAAATACTAAATAAGTGGCTGTGGGTAACTGAAAATAAGACTGAAAAAGTGAATATAATGGAGGTGAAGTAAAGGGAAGAGACTCAAGGAAAATTTGAAATCTCATAAAATAACCCTGCTTTGATATCAAGGGAAATGGCATGATCCAAGCTTTTGTTTTAGGAGAGTAATGGGGAAATTAGCTTTGTCTTGGGGAACTGCTCATCTAAAGAGAACCTAGAAAATATATCTTTCTTGTGTTGCTCTGTAATCGGTGGTCTTGACTTCAGAGTCCAAGAAAGTAGCAGCTGTGCCTTAAACACTAAGAATCAGGCGGGCACAAAGAAGAAAAAAGAATGCACGCATTCTCTGCTTTGAAGAAGTTTTCAGATGTTGCCTCCTAACATGTCCACCTATGTACCATGGGCCATGTTTGGGTCATAGGCCTAGCTACTTGCAAAAAATACTGAGGGTGGGGGCCAGGGATTTGGCTCAGTGGTTTCGTTGCCTGCTGCGCAAGCATAAGGACCCAAGTTCGATCCCCAGTACCAAAAAAAAAAAAAAATACTGAGGGTAAAATGTCATTTTGATTCTTGGCAGCCATACACAAGGCTAGTGATGCTTTCACGCCAAAGGACACAGCTGGAAGTTGGGTGTGACTGATGATAAGACTTTGAGACTCATCAAGATTTAGATAATAGCTGAAATTGTGGGTATGGATGATATTATTTACACAAAAATCCTAGAGTTAGAAATTGGTGGAAGCAAAGTTCAAAGGACTGGCAAAAACACTCTACAAAGAACAAAACATATAGAAAAAAGAAAATGTGGACTTCTAAAATCAAGTAAGAAAGTCGGGCCGAGGATTTAGCTCAGAGGTTCCAGTGCCTGCAGTGCAAGCACAAGGTTCCGAGTTCTATCCCCAGCACCAAAAAAAAAAAAAAAAAAGTCATTCAGAGAAACAGTAGAATCTACCAGCATCAAATATCATACTTGCTATTTATCTAACCTTGCATTGTAGCAGTTATAAGAGAGTTTTGTTGTTTTGTGATGTTAAGGATCAAACCCAGGGCCTCATATATATAAGGCAAGTGTTCTACAATTGTGCTACATCCACAGCCCAAAGAGATATTACAAAATGCTCAAAATTTGAATAACATACTTGCAATGACAAGGAAAGAAATTATAGTGTGTGTGTGTGTGTATGTGTGTGTGTGTGTGTGTGTGTGTGTGACTGAAGGAGTGAAGTACCGGCAACTGGATTTTTAGGATGATTTTCTAAGACCATTTGCTATGAAAAAAAGAAAACTATGAGAAAAGGACAGAAAGAAATGCTTGCATATTTTAAAGGAATATAGGGGCTTAATTGACAGAGAAAGAGTTGAGAAAAAATTTTCAGTTAAGCAAGATCTATAACTGGATCTCTTGTCTGTTACCACCATTTTTATCACACATAACCCAAGACCCTAGGATAAGGTGAGCTGCTTAAGACAATCTTTGCTGACTCATAAAAGATGTATTGGTCCCAGTAGCAACATTAACAAGACTCAGATTGAAATTTCAAGGCCTCCCCAAGCCATTTCACCCTTCTGGCCATATGTTCCCATGCCTGCCTCAGTCAAGAAAGAGAGGACTGGGAACAGAAGTGTTTTTATCAAAAGAGTTAAGTCCCTTTTACCTGGGGTAAGATCTG